CTGTTAACCAGTAATCCCACAAGAAACAACATTACCAACTAGAGTACATTGTACAGATACAGCTGCTTTTGTGTTTAGCCTTCCAGTTTTCAGTCAAAATGCTGTTTTCCGAAGTTACTTAGTTCAGTCCTCCTTGTCCCCCACCCATATCCTGCAGTGAGGTTGTGTCATATATTGTCACACAGATTCTTCTATCACATTCTACATTCTATTCTAGGGTCCCCTAACATCCTGTGGCTTTTTTTTTTTTTTTTTTTTACTTTGCATACATTGAAATTCACATTTTGTACTATAAAGTTTCATGGGTCTTGACAAGTGCAGAGAGTCATTAATCCTCTCCTACTTTGCCACACACAATGGTTCTGTCACCCTAAAAATTCCCTTCTGCAACCTCTTTGTAACCAACTACTTCTCCTTCCCCAAGCCCTGACAATTACTGATATAGTGTTTTCTATTCTATAGCTTTGCCTTTTCCAGAACATCATATGAATGAAATCATATAATATGTAGCTTTTTTTTAGTCTGGCTTGTTTCCCTTTCACACGCACCAGGGAAGTAGACACATTTTTGAATGCATCATATTTTTATGGATGAGTAGCCATGCTGGAGGATTAAATAAATTAACAGACTTTGTTTAAAAAAAGTGTTATATGCATATAAAGTCCAGTCACTTGCTGCAGTGCTCTGGCTGGCAGCTAAGCAGAGCAGAGTAAAACAGCTGGGACTATTGGGTAAATATGTGGATGGTAGAAAAAAATCACTACCACTTAGTAGCTCTGTTATCTTTGCTAATTCTCGCCCACTCACCAAACAATTATGGAAGAGTTTGTTAGAGGACAATGAGCTTTCTTTGGGCATCAATGCGGTCTGTTTTGCAATAGCATTCAGTCGGTTCCTTGCTTGCTGTTTTCTCGCTTCTGGGAAAATGTGGCCACAGAGCTTAGTTTCCTCTTGCATCTGTCTCCGTTATTTTTCATGGATATTGCCCACCATCCTACTCCACAAGTGTCTCCAGCTAATGCCCGGCCCCTTGCACCAGTCATGCCCTCTTGCTTCTCAGCTCCACACCCATCCTTCTGCAATCTACGCCCTCATCTGCTGACTTCTTACGTTCTGCCAATAGGTGGTGCTAGAGAGAGAATGGTCTCCTACTTTACTAATTTAGTGTTGCTCAGATAGAGGCAGGTGCCTGTAACCGACGGGCTTTTCTGGAGCTTCCAGAACCTTCTATGTCCTGTAGAGCCGCCATCAGCAGTGGCTATGCCCCTTCCTCAGAGATTTGAGCACCACTGCCTCAACAATTTGCATCTTTTTCCTTATGTTGCATCAGCTTAGAGGTAGAAGCAAATTACATATCTAATTCCTGAGACAGAAGAAATGACAGGGCCAATAATTTATAAATGATGTAGGGATGCATGCACGTATGTACAAATTAATATATACATATTTATTTTCTTATAGTTTGCCCTGTTTTCCAAGAAGGAAATTGAGGTAGTTTATAAGGATACTCATTTATCATATACTGCTTAATAGTATATAATTTTATTTGTGGAGATGACAGAGTTTGGTTATTAAAGGAAACCGAATAACCAAACTTCCTCAGTATTCCTTTTGCGCATCCAGTCTTCCAACACCTGAGGAATCATTCGTGTATTAAATCCTGCTTGTTCGAAATTCCCGATGTCGTTTCTGCTTCCCTCACTGTATTCTGACTGACAAAACCAGTTAAACGTCCAGTCTTCCCGCCCCATTCTTGTGGCATCTTATTCCTTTAAAAGATTTCTCATTCAGGCCAGGTGCGTGCGCTCACACCTGTAATCTCAGCACTTTGGAAGGCCAAGACAAGAGGATCATCTGAGCTCAGGAGTTCAAGACCAACCTGGCCAACGTGGTGAAACCCCATCTCTACTAAAAATACAAAAATTAGCTGGGCGTGATGGTGTGTGCCTGTAATCCCAGCTACTCTGGAGGCTGAGGCAGGAGAATCACCTGAACTCGGGAGGTAGAGGTTGCAGTGAGCCGAGACTGCGCCATTGCACTCCAGCCTGGGCAACAAGAGCTAGACTCTGTCTCAAACATAAAATAAAATAAAATAAAATAAAATAAAATAAAATAAAATAAGAAGATATCTCATTCAACACTTCACATGATTCTCTTTTTTGAAGAAAACTTCATGTAGATGTCAAGACATTTTATAAAGACTTTAATATCTATACTTTACAATAGGGGGAGCATGTTTACTGCTCTCAGGGACATCCCACAAATGGAAGGTGGTGCTTTTATTATTCTGAGATGAATTTTCAGTTTCCTTTAATAACCAAACTCTATCATTTCCACAAATAAAATTATATACTATTAAGCAGTATGTGATAAATGAGTATCCTTGTAAACTACCTCAATTTCCTTCTGTGGAAACAGGACAAACTATAAGAAAATAAATAGACATATATTAATTTGTGCACACCTGCATGCATACCTACATCGTTTATAAATTATTGGCTCCGCCATTTCTTCTGTCCCAGGAGTTAAGAGATGTAATTTGGTTTTTTACACATGTAAAACCAGCAAATAAACAAAAGAAAATTGAAAACAATAGTAACGGGGAGAGTATTTACATTTTCAGCTACTCCGTTCCCCAGGGTGTGTGGGGTCTAGAGCTCCAGGTTATCACCATTTTACACATGAGGCTTAAACAACAGATTCAAAGAAATTGGTGACTTGCCTCGATTATCCAGCGAGTGGCAGCTCAGCCGGCTTCACTCTCCATGACTGTATGCACCATTTTCCTAAAGTTTAACGGTCCTCTGCCCCCTACCTCCCAGGTCCCCGATGGTATGCGGTATCTTTGAAAGAATACAGCCGTCCCTGTCAACCTGGATGGAGAGTTCAGCCCCTGGCTTGGGAAGTTAGGCCTCTGACCATGAGTTTTACTCTCCCTCCTTTAACTTTTCCCTCCCGTGAAGAAGAAAGTTATTTTCAAACCTCCATCTGTTTTGTGTTTAGTGTGCAGAAAGGTTGCACATTTTCAGGGACCTTGTTCATAAGCAGTAGATCGTACAACAGTTTATTACACAAGTGGAGGTTTTTATGGCTGGCCTTTGTTGAGTTGCCAACTGGGAGAAAGAACATAACGTGCTTAGTAGTCCCTATCAGGAAAAATGAGAAAGCGTTCAATACCAGTCAAATCGTCAAGCATCGGAAAGCTGGTAATCAAATCCAGAAATCCCTGGAATACGGTTGATGAGGAGGGTTTTCTCATCATAGTTTTACATCCATAATCATTTTCCAAGTCCCTGTGTCACAGGCAGTGTCTCAAAGCCTTATGTAAGAAGTGCCTCAATGGTGGAATAAACGTTTGACCTAGAAAGATTCATGTCCACTTTGAAATCTGGCCCTGGTCAATGCAGGGCATGAAACTGGAACCCCAGGAAGAGCTTTATATATTTTTAATCACATTATAATGTTGAGGACATCAGCTACGTAGAAACTTGCTTAAGACTTACTAGGCTTCTTTCCGTACCCAGGCCATATTCTCTGTACTCCTAGGAGGGAATGTAATTTACTAGTGGTTTGTCCCCAGCCATGGGGCAGAGGGTAGAAAACTCCACAAAGCATCCTAGTAAACACTGCATCAGAACCATTCCAATTGTAACCAGCCAATGCCAATGGTAATGGATCACTCTTGCAGCTTCCTTTTTAAATGTTCCCAAAAGCTCAGACCATCACAGAAGCTGCCCAATAAAAGTCGGTAGAGAAACATTCCAGTCTTCTAGCAGTTCTCAGCCCAGGCTGAACATCAGAGTCCCTGGGGGATTCCCATCCCAGCCTAATTAAATAAAATCTCTTGGAGTGGGCGAGGACATCGGTACATTCTCCAGGTGACCCTAATACGCTGCCTGGATGGAAATCACGGCTCTAGTCTAGCTACCTCATTTTACTGGTGGAGGAAATTGAGCCTGGAGAAGTTACTGTCCACAATACTTGATTCACACTGCCTTGGTTCTTTCCCAGGGAGGTGTTTTCTCACAATCACTCTGTAACTCCATAACTTCCTGTCTCACATCTCCTAACCCTGCGTTTATAAAAGCGACACCTTCACACCTAACCCAGTCCGCTTTTTGCTTGTGCACAAATACCGTGCAGTAGCTTGTAGAAGCAATATCAGCTGCTCCCGTGTTCCCGAGGAATATGAAGAATAATGTCAGGACTGTGGAGAAAATGCAGCTAAAAAACCCACTTTTTTCTCCAGATGGGTCATGGAGGAGGGAGTTAAGAAGTGGTCCTTAAACATGAAGGAGATTCAACTTCATTTTCCTTATTAGTCCCTTATTAAATCCTTGTCTGTTTGTGTTTGAAAAAACAGTTGTGTTGTGTGTTTGAAAAAACAGTCCTACTTTATTCCTGATATAAATGTTAATGGTCTCCCCATCAATTCCCAAAATGTTCTAAGATGGTTATTAAATTTTATGATCACCCTACTCTAGACGAATCCCACCAAAAGTGTCACACATGCTGTTATTGAAAGATCCTTCCTTTTTCAGGCTGAGAATCTCAAGCCTTTTTCCAACCCACAGGCCACGTTGTAATTGCTTTCTTCCTGGGAGTCTGATAAACAATGTTCTCAATCTGATAGACAGCTAATACCCGGGGGGACATTGGTCGGTAGCCTTGGACTTCTCAGCTTAATCGCCCTAGCTTTAATGCCACTTAAATCAGAATGTAAGCACTGAAAGAATTTCAGGAATCCGATGATATAAATTGTATTTTTAGAGCCGTGAATGACTTGAGCGAGTGAAACAGTGCAGTGGCTTAAGATAGTTCGCTTCAGTTTTCCCATGATTTATCGCAAGCAAGTTCACAGCAGGTTAAAATAATTGAATGCGGTGATAGCATACATACTGGCATGATTTTATGAGCCATCATTCATAACATATTTGTCCCGAAGCATAATTTCCATGATAGAACTCTGATTCACATGTAATTTTTTTGCAGCGACGACACAGTTGAAATAACTCTTTTGTGGAGGCTGGCTACATTTTCACAGCGTCTGGTTCCAAGCTAGATCTTCGGGAAAAGGGAACAAGGAAATGACTATTCCTCCAAATAAAATGTAAGTATATCCTGATAAAATGTTCACTTTTTTGGAGAATAAAGAGAAATGTTCTTTCCGGGAGAATTGTGACTCGGAGGTTATGCCTTGCGATCTCTACCTGTTTCTCACTACTTCTTTTATTTTTCTTTTTCCTTCATTGTTTATTTTCCACTTTTCTCCTAATGTACTTTTTCTTCTACTTATTAGCTGTGTCCCCTGGGCAAGTAATTTTTCCACTCTGTAATCAAACGCTATAATATGGGGATGATAAAAAGTAACTCCACAGGTCAGTGTGCAGAATAGAGATAATGAATGTGTGGGTACATATGGGCCCCCAAACTCAGCTGTGTAAGGAAAGCCACTTTCTTTTTATATTTTTATAACTCGATTTAGTTTCTATTTTGAGTCCCTATTTGGCTTCATCATGGGGAGGTAATCTCAAAGCAGGATGCACTCATCTAAACCTGAGAAGGATGTCGGATCCATGTAGCTTTCCACCTTCAGCCCTGCCTGCATGTTCCACTATTGCCCCGCCAGTTAGTCAGGCTGCAGGCAGGTGCTACACGCTAGGACTCCTTCCTGGGAACTCAACCATCATGTCAGGTTTCTTGGCTTCCCTGGCTCTCCTTCTCAAATTTGAAAAGTCTTGTCTGGTCTGGAGAAAAAGTTTCCCAGCTTTTCATTTAATCTTCCAAATCTTTGGTTTATGACCAGAACCTGCCATTTGAGACTCAAAAGCTAAAAATATGACTCCTCTGTTATCTTTGTTTCACTGGTTTTCCCTTCCCTGAAGTTTTACAGAAGGCCTAGCTGCCTAATGGGGAGAAACACAGGAAATACCATGGAAAACATATGGGCAAATATCTCCCAAGAATTTCCCACCACTTGTATGACGCACCAAGAGGAAGGCCTGACATACGGCAGGAAGCCAGCAAAGGTGACTGCACCTTTATAAGAAAGTTCCAAGTCTGGTTCCATGTTTCCTGGCTCTGTGCCCTTGGACAAGTTGTCTAACCTTTCTGTGCCTCAGTTTCCCCACCTGCAACATGGAGATGGTAATAGTATTTACCTCACAAGGTCATATGTGTATAAAGTTTTCAATGAATTAGTTATACTATCATTGTTTTTACCACTAGTACGAACTTCTGTCCTCTAAAGCCATTAGCTTAATACTATCGGCAACCATAATGGTGTTGATGCGGTTGGCATACACAGTGCATCCCACAGAGGAGAAGGTAAACATATCACAGGGAAGGAGGGAGCTACTGGTCCCAAGTATGAGACTGGGATGAGTTTCCTGGAAATGCGTCCTTCTGGGTAAAATCCGGGTATAACGATGCTAAGCGGTGAGTTAAGAAGCAATCAGCCAACCTCAGTCAAGGGAGTTCTCAGGTGCTAGCAAGGAGAGGCAGATTCTTGAGGATCTAGAGTCTGAATCAGAAGATGGATCCAAGCTTGTAACCCATAGGACAAGATGGAGTCAGAAGAAAGGGATGGGGAGCAAAGTGAGAGAAAGGCTGGCTAAGCCAGTGTGAGAAATGGATCTGGTTGACGATGGCCAGCAGTTATTGGAGAACAGAATACGTATGGGACCTCTCCTGAGATGTGAGGCCACTGAGCAGTTTTGCTGAGGGAGGTACCACTTCTGCGAGCAGGGACAATGAGAGGAAACTGTAAGAGAGAGAATGGTCCACCAGTCCCAAGTCAAATAAATCTTTTTCTCTGGCCCATCCAACTGATGAGCATGAGAATGAGAATGCGGGACCTCCACCCATGCACCTGCCTACCCTCCAGTCCCAGAGCCAGTTTGGTCTATGTTCTCCACTCACATTCTGCCAGGACAAATGAGCCCGAATGGGACAGTGGAAAGGGCATCACATGGGAAGTCAGGAGACCTGAACTCCAGACCCAGTCAATGACCAACTAGCCTGAGACCTTAGACATATTCCTTCACCTCCCTGAACCTTAGGGCCCTCGATGAGGAGGTAACACCAAATAAGAACAGAGCTCAGTGGGCATAGTTAGCGGTACAGGAGCCACAGGGCCAGTGATATGAATTCTGTCTTCGCCATTTACCAGATGTAGGTCAACTAATTTAATCTAAGCTCCAGTGTCTTCACGTATAAAGATGGAGCTAATAGGACACCCCTCATATGATTAATTTGAAGACGAAATTCAAGAGTATCTGGGACATGTTTAGTACTGTTGTGAAACGCTATGTGTACTCAATTGATTGTTGCCAATATCACTATCACGATTATCAGTGGAACCCAGAGCTCTATTAGGTCAGGGGCAACTAAGATGGTTGAGTGGGAGAATTCAAGACTGCAGACCCTGCTTCCTTAGGAAGAGCAGAAGCATTTTCCTCTGTTTTGTTTATCCCTCTCTCTGTCTCTTTTTTTTTTTTTTTTTTTAACAAAATTAAGTATTTCTCACTGAATAATAATAATAACGTTATAAATCACTGGACTAGGCAAAGGGTTGGCAAACTTTTTTTTTTTTTTTGTAAAGGACCAAATAGCAAATATTTTCACCTTTGCAGGCCACATGTGGTTGTCCATTGCATATTCTTCCGGTTTTATTAGAGTTAGGGTTGAGTTAGGCTTAGAGAATAATAGCATCTATTAGGATAGAATAGTAACTATTAAGCAACTATTATAACACAAAACCCCTGTCTGTGTGTAACAGAAATCTCAGTGCCTAAACAAATCGTATTTCTCACATCACAGTAAAGCATGAGTAGGGGGTTAGGGTGTCTATGCCACACAATCTTTTGGGGATCTAAAATCCTTCCTTCTAGTGGTTTCTTCATTTTCTAAGGCTCCGGAAACTTCTGGATGGAAGGAAAAAAGAGACGGGCCTACATTCAAGAACATTTTAAAAATGTAAAAGCTATTCTTAGCTCAGGGTCTGTACGATTATGCCCCGTCAGCTGCTTTTGGCCTGCAGGCCCTGGTTTGCCCACTCCTGGATTAGACCATCTCTCAGGTCCTTTCTGAAGATGAACCAAATGTCACTGTGAGCAGTCTCTTTCCTTCTCCCTCAAAGTAACCTGGCAGTGAACTCTATAACATCTCCCACTATCTTTCATGTGATAATATTTTTCGTATTTACAACAGCTGTCATATTAAGTGTTTTTGTTACGTTTTATGTGTAATGTTACACAGAGTTCCTTTGTGAACAGTTTTTATAAAGGTGGTGTATTAATTTTCAAGGCCTGCTGTGAGGCAGTATCACTAACCGGGTGGCTTAAAACAGCAGAAATTTGTTGCTTCACAGTCTGGAGGCCAGAAGGCTGCATTCAGTGTTTGAAGGGTTGATTCTTTCTGAGGGAGAATCTGATCCATGCCTTCCTCCAGCTTCTGGGGATGACCAGGACTCCTCGGCGCCCCTTGGCTTGCAGACGCATCACTCCCATCCTGCCTCCATCTTTACGCTGCGTTCTCCCTGTTGTCTCCGTCTTTACACAGGGCCTTGGATTGGGGCCCACACTGATGACGTCATCTTAACGTGGTTAAAACTCCCAAGACCCTATTTCCAAGTAAAGTCACATGCACAGGTACTGGGCCTTAGAACTTCTGTCAGTCTCCTTGATGGACACAATTCAGCTTATAACAAGTGGTGAAAAGCACGGGGTTGCCTATTCATAGCTAAGAACTGTGAAATATTAGACATGAAAAGAACTGTTGCTGCTGCAGGGATGAATAAGACTGATGGAGTGTCCAAACAGCTTAAGTTTTACCCTTCACTGTAAATGGCAGAGAGAACAGTACTACTACTGCTGCTACCTTGAAGAATATAAAATTTGCCTTTTAAAAGTGTTTTTGTTTTATGGACATGGAACAATGAACTAGAAAATATGGCACATTCTGTACCCTTCTTCTACTTTCAACTTATAAATGCTGTATTCAAAATACCGGAACAGTGTGGCTTGCGGTTCCTAACAAAATTAAAAATAAAAACAAAAAGTCTCTTCGCATCCATGTCACCCTCTGAGGGAAATGTAGCTTGGTGCCCTGGAGAAGAAATGGACTTTCTGGTGAATTCTCACCCCTTTCTGCAAGGGTCAGGATTTGAAAATTACTACCAGCTGGTTGTAATTCCATCCTATTTTGAAACAGATGACTTAGACTGCTAAACCATCATGGGGCTAAGATTTATTTCCCCTGCTTGGACTAAGTCACAAAGACCCAATTTGCAAAGTAGAGAAAAGGAGCAAAATTTTTTTTTTTTTTTTTTGGTGAGCTCACCTCACCTCTGCCAGTGGAAAACCTACCAATATCTCAGAATTTGCACAAGTGAACTGGGCCATGCCATGCCATCTCTAATATTCCAGAATAAGAATTATTTCTCTTTTCCAAATTTTCACAGCACTTTCTGTCTCTGCACCTCTTCAGTGGCACTTATTATGAGACTTACGTTCTTTCCTAAAGTGCAAATTCTCTGAAATCTTAGTAATTACTCAAGGAGGAGAGGAAGAAGCCTGTGGACCTTGAAATGCTGGAAAGGAAAGGAGAAGCACAGGAGCGAATCTTTCAGGAACCAAGAAGGATGGGACAAGGTTCCAAACTGGAATAGTCTTAACCTGCGTAGGAACACCAAGAAATTGGGAATTTCATGTAAGCTTTGCTAGAAGCCAGCTAAGCCTGTGAGGGCTTCTGTTGGAATTCAGCATCAGGCCTAGAACTCCAGTGAAAGTGCCTGAAGAAAATCCTATCCAAAGTTTTTGGCAAAAGCAAGTCACTTAACTTCTCTATCCCTCAGGCTTCTCATCTGTATGATAGGATTAATCATAGAATCTACCTCATAAAGTTGTTGTGGGACTCAAATATCATAATGAATGAATAGTACTGGGCACCTAGCCAGCCTGGCATACTGTTCCCCAACCTTCCCAAATTTATCCACTAGGAATTGTAATAGAGTAGATTTGGGTTGCAACCTGGGAGTCTATGTATTCAGCAAGCACAGTTAAGAAATTCTTGTTTTCAGGGAAATTCGGGAAACAATGCTGTAGCAAT